TTGTATGAGTGTCCAAATCTTCTTATGAACAACTGCGGATAATATCCGGTTATTAAAAATGGCGTTCTATTACATTCTAAAACAAAGGTTACCACTAATGAGTTCATGACAAAATCCACTTAGCCAAGTTTTATCAACAATTCTCTGGCTGAACGGTTCATCATTTATCATCCCAAGCTCGTTCTGCTCGCAAATCTTAGATTTATACATAAAAAATTGGAAAATAAGAATACGAATAATAGGATTGTTATCCGGATAGCAAAACCACACCTGAAGTTAAGCCCCCGTGCGCTTCGAGACATTCCGCATATGTACACTGCCATCCTTAGCCAAAATGTCTTCGCCAGCAATTGTCTACGTACACGTATTGCTCTATGAACACTCTACCCTAACTGTTTCGCATACAATTTAATTGTAAAATCTCGTCCACCTAATTAATTATAAGGATTCGAAATGCCAGCCGAGACACGTAAGCCAGGGAGAGCAGGATCGAGTGTCGATAAAACATTATCCAGACATATTAGCTATATACGTATAGACATATAAATACAAATAGAAACACAAAGATCGATTCGTAATGAGTATTATCGAAACGGTCGCCGTTGTGGTCATTGTCATCGCTAGCACCGGTTACCGTGTAAATGGTATGTCTATGACAGAGCCCCGACCGAGCAATCGGACTTGAGATGCTGCGATTTATTAGTCGCATCCCACTGTCGTTCGTACAATAGAAAATCATTATTCCTGTTAGCAACAACGATCAATATGCAAACAACGATGTTTAATACGTACTAATAACAAGAAAAGACAATAAAATTGGCGCGGTTTTACTACGCACACAGGTACACGGATAGGTATACATAATAACATCGATCAAAGAAATCGCCTAATCGATAGGCTCTGGTCCGCGAAATGTGGGCATTTGTCCGTGTATTCGAATCGCACAGGCTGCGCCCGTGGGTAACGATTCGACGTGCCTACGTCGAAAGATTACGTTAATGTTTCGTTCAGCTCCTGTTCGCTAAGCATCTTCCTTGAAACGTTTTCAAACTCGAGAGCAATGGCCGCTGCGGCGGCGGCGGCGGCGGTTCGGATCAATGATTTGAGAGACGGTGTTCGGTTCCTTCGGGCAAGACTCGTTGGCGTCGATCGGTGATCGATAAAAAAAATCGGCATTATTGCGCGCGAAGGATACTCGAAGGTTTATATAGATGGACGGATGATCATCACCGAACATCGTGCTCCCGTTGTTCTCCTCGTAAAACGATGCTCCTCGCAGTTATCGCGCACGGCCATTTTAAACCGGGACGCGCACATTCTTTTTCGAATTGGTCCTGCCGGTTACGATCGGCCCTCTCGTCTCCGGTCTCCCCCTAAGAAAAGCGACACGTCTACGCGCACGTTCAAGCGTTTAACGTCGCTGCCCATCAAATACAATTAAAAGAGCAGAGGACGGTTTCTTGTCGAATCGAGAAGAGAGCTGAGACACGTACTGCATATAAAGGAGTCAGACGTGCGCGCGTCCAGGACGATACATGGGAAGGTGAGGGTACGCTTTTCCGGGTCTCGAGCGGAACGACGACTTCAACATTCTTTGTTTTTTGTCTCCCGAGAAGCTCGTGACTCGTTCACGAGAGCTCGTTAAGCAATCGACACTTTCACAGGAATGAAAACGTCGGTAGGTGTTCATATTGTTTGACGCGCATGCGGAATCGATCGGTGATCGAATCACGCGCGCGCGCGCGCGCGCAAAGAGAATCCGTCTCGGTTTCGGCACAAAATTGCACTTAACAGCTAGTTTACACATGCTCTTAACTACTAATTAACGTGTAAATGGTCATTTGTGTGTTACCCGAAGCGCTCGATACCGTTCGTCACGATGCCGCGCGGCGATGGCGATCTAAACGATTTGTCACGGTTCGTAAAAAATTCCTTACTACGTACTCGATGGACGGGAAAGGTTATTATTAAGGTAATTGTACAGAGCAAGGTAAAACTGGTTCGATACTTAAGGATTAATACGATTTACCGGACAGTCTTCCAACGTCGTCATGCTCGCCTAGCTTCATGAACGAACATAACCTGCGGTACCGCTGCGGTGTTCATGTGCCTAACCCAGTTATTCCGCCTATACATAATTCCTACGTACGTCCGCGTGCGCCTGTATGCTACGATTTTTAACCATGTAAATACTTGAACGTACCTCGTCTACTATCTAAATCGCTGGGCAAAATTGTCAGCTCGGTTGTACAATCTTAGAAATATTTCGTTGGAAACCATATTTAGGAGACTTCTCTAAATCCTAGACTATTTCAAAACAGATGCAATCCCGTTCGACGCTAATTCCAATTGTAGAAACGATCAAAATCGCATGGTGGAAATACATTTACCTCCCGTCACGAGAATCCATAGTGCGCAAAGACAAATTTTCGGTTTCTCTCTTTATCCCTAATGCTTTTCACATTTGCGCAACTGGTATGGACTTTCGTGGACTTACAGGAGTAAGGTTTGTGTTCTGTCGGTGGTACCATTTTCGTCACTTCCGCCATGCCAGTTGGCGGCCATATTAAAAAATGACTCATACTTCTTATTTTCGACCATAAAAACCGAGAAAAAAAACGACAAAAACACACACACATATAAGT